AACAAACATTTGATTTAAAACCATCTAGCAAGATCTAGCTCTTAAGTCCTCTTCCCCTACTATTCACCCAGGTGGAATTGATTATCCCCTTTTACAAACTTCTGTTACATTTAGTGTTTATAATATACATTGATCATATCATGCAATGGTTTACTATTTCTCCTTCTACCAGAACGTGAATTTCTTGAAGGCAAGAACTCCTCTAATTTATTTTAATATTCTCAGTGTCTAGCACAATATGGGACTTTTAATCAACATGCAATAAATGTTTAACAAGAGAATAAGTAGATTATCTGGCACTGTGTCATTTATGGTAAAAGGAAGCTGTTCATTATAAAATGGTTTTATTATCATCTGGACTTGTTTGATCATCCCATGGAATAATGGAAATTTCAATTCTCTGTATCAGCTCAAGCAATATAACCAAACTTACAGAGACCACAGGGTTGTAGACAGAGTAAATTACTTGTTTTATATCAAACTTGTCCCTCAACCTCCTTCCATGGCTCAGGGCCCTGGATAATCTGGGCATATCATTCAGCCATTATGGGCTGAGAGCCTTTTCCTCCCATTTTCCCAGATACTTCCAATGTCCCACTTCTTCCGTGTCTGGGAGAGATAGCTTTACTTGCTCTGTATTGCTCTGCTGCTGGACATGGAACTTAAAAAATCAGACTACTGCACGTGAAGATTAAGCTCCTGCTACCACCAACCATCTCTAGAACCTTTCCATCACCCCCAACTTTGTACCTATAAGACACTGACTTCTCATTCTCCCCTATTCCAGCCCATAGAAAGTGTTCCACTTTTTGTTTCTATTAATTTGGTTATTCTAGTTGTCTCATATACTGGGATCATACAATATGTGTCTATTTGTGTCTTATTTCACTCAGAATATTGTTTTCAAGATTGATCCATGTTCTAGCATGTCTCAGAATTCCCATGCTTTTTAAGGCAGAATAATATTCTATTATCTGTGTATGTATATAAATATATATACACATATACATATGCATACACCACATTTTGTTTATCTGTTCATACTTTGATCTATCTATGGTCATTTGGATTTCTACCTTTTGGTTACGTGAAAAATGCTGAAAATGACATTGGTATACAACTATCTGTCTAAGTCCTTGCTTTTAGTTCCTAGCCTGTTTACCTAAAAGTGGACAGCTGGGTCACATGATAATGCTACATTTAAAAACCCTATACTGTTTTATATAGTAGCTGCAGTATTTTACATTCTTACCAGCAATGCCCAAGGGTTCCAATTTCTCCATATTCTCACCAATGCTTGTTATTTCCTGTTGTTGTTGTTGTTAATAGCCGTCCAAATGGGTATGAAGTAGTACTCATGAATTTTTTTGCATCTGTGTTCCTAAGAGACATTGGTCTGTAGTTGTCTTTTCTTATAAATGGGTTTAAGCATTTTGGACGATAAGTAAAAAAACAAACAAAAAAACGAATGAGAAGTCAAGGCTGTCCTGAGGTTTCTTGGCTGCATTAGTGAGTTTGTAGTGCAACAGAGAATCCCGGAGCAGGACCAGATTTTAAAGGGCAGGGAGGAAGGATTTGTACAATATTTTTTGTACAAATATTTTTGTACAATATTGATATAGAAGCTTGTACGATATTTGTACAAAATTTGTGCAATATTTTTTGTAATATTGGGAAATGTCAGCTCACAAGGACTATGGCCATCCTGGAGGAGGTATATAGTTGACAACTGAGAAAATATGCCTAAAGCCTGAGAACTGTGTAAGGGCCAAAAACACAGATAATGGCAACATCTACCATATCCTGAGCAATGGTGAATGTTTGGGAATTACCAGTGTAAGTGTAGTAGCTGAAGTCACAGAACTGCGGGACTCTTCCTAGAGAAAGAGAGTGAAAAGGGACAAAAGGGCCAAGAACAGAACCTCAAAGAACCGAAATTTAAGTACAATGCAGCAAAGAAATGGCCAACAGAGACTGAAAAATAGTAAGAAGAGGAGGGAAAAGTATTATGGAAATCAAAATAGAATTTGGTATTCAAAAAGGAGAATGATTCTTCAGTGTTTCAAGGAATTCCGGTGTTATCTTCCTCCTCTATGCTCAGTCAGGGAGATGCCCATCACCGTAATTACCAGTTGTCAATATCTTTTTTAGTCACAGCAGAACTAGATTAATAGAACTGGATTAAATGCAGAGATGGAGTTATTATAAATTAATGAATTTATATTGACAAGGCATAAGGATTCTTTTTTTGCTAATGTAAAGTTTTAAAATCTGATATCTAAATTAAGTCAGTTTCTATTTCAATTGTGAAAAGTAAAGATTAAGGCTTAAAAATTATCTCTACAGTGTTTATGACCATTTGCACTTAAAAATACATCAGGATGAAACCATACCAGGACAAAACAAAACCTTTCACAACCAATCAGGCATTCTTAAAGATTTATTTTAAAAATCAGGATAATGCACTATATTTACTCACATATATTCCTGTTACCAGATATTTTCAGCAAACAGACATCTTTAAGCATCTTCATCTGCTTTTATCAAACCTTCAAAGTGGCTCCTGCTGCTGTTGACAATCACAGCAGCCTGTTGGGGGTAAAGTACGGGGAGAGAAAAATAATCACGTACTCTTCACAATTCAGAAATAATAAAACAATTGAGTGGGTAAATGTGCATTTGTATGCTACCAATGAAGGCCAAAATAGTGACGTAACTTTCATACACACTGTAAAAGGAAGAATAATATAAACTGGTCACATTATTAATTATTAACTAACCAGATATTTTGTATTAACCTATTACATTCTCGATTTTTTTGTGGAATAGCTATTAAACTGTGGCATACTTCTTAACATTATAACAATTACATATGTTAAACACACATGATCTTTTGAAAATGCAGTTAAGCAGTTATTACGGTAAAGAAGCTCATGAAATCACACGTTACTAACCCAGCATAATTATTCTGAAGGTAGGAGAAAAACAACAAAGGACTTTATCATGTGTGCAGAAATGTTTTTCTCTCTCCACCCCCTAAAAAAATCTCTGAATGCAACAAATACCTCCTGAGTGGCTTCTGTTTGAAGTTTTAAGGGAAACAGATGTATGACAAGGTCCTTGCTTGCAAGCAATTCATTCTGTATAGGAGAAGCAGGCATAAATCCATATATACAGACACATATCCTCAGTAGGGAAAGCAGTAGGAGCACAGAGGGGTTGAAAATGTGGAAGTCTTCTGAGATCATTCTAGATACTAAGGTAGGCTTTAACCCAAAAATGAGCATGAATGGGGGGCGGGTAGTGATGGGAGCAGAGTTAGGTGGGGAGAACCACAGGAACACTGCAGGAGAAGCAGCCAAGTGAAGAGCATCCCCAGAGAAAAAAGTGGAGCACTGCATTTGCAAGGAGGTTGAGTGCAGGTATGTAGTGAAATGCAAAGAGTAGGAACATGGCTTGGAGTCAGAATGAGAAGGTCCTGGGCGTGGTATTAAAAATTTTCGTTTTTATTGTATATGAGGAGTTGTTGAAGGTAAGAACTTAGTCACATGTCCAGAGTTGTCTGAACCAAGAGGATGCTGCTACTCCATGAGGGAGGACTTTCTTGTGAGACAGGCCACCCATATTAAAAAGTTTGTATTATACTTGAAGGCCTGCATTAACCTTAACTGAGTTTCAAATATGAGAAGTTAATCAAATCCAGGAAAAAGCAAATCCCCACAGATTTTTTTTAAATCCTCTTTTCTTTCCCCATGACATCAATATAATGCCCACCTTCAAGGATATGCAAGTTAAGATTCTAAAGGATTCTAGAGTTCAGTCATTTCATCATACAAAGAAATGGAAATCAAGAGAAATGGAAGGACTTGCTAATACTTATGCTACTTTGTCATAAGTAGAACCCGAATTAGGTGGAATTTAGATAGATAGAATTAGATGGATTAATTAGAATTCATGCTCGATCTGTCCTCCACATTACCAGGCATTTAATAATAATATATATTTGTTTGGTAATCATTTTTAAAGAGTTCTGGTTTAACTGCAGGGAAGAGAATTAATTACCTCCCCTCAATTTTTTAAGCATCATGTATTAAAATAAAATACACATTTTTACCCCCCAGGGGAGGTTCTGAAGGAATCTGCTTTCATTAACAAGAGGAACATATAAACTATTTCAGATGTAAATAAATGGTTGTGCTTAAAAAGGTGAAGACAGAACAGCTTTTTTTTTTTTTTAAACATTTAAAATCTCCCTGAATTATTTCCTTCTTTTCCTTAGCAAAGTGAAATAAATTTCAGACTGGTCTATGATAGATTCTTGAAATAATGAAGACAAAATTGACTTGTTATATATAATTGTAATTAATTTTTGTTGAGTACCTAACAGCAAAGAAATGCTACTAATGAGAGTAAAGATTTATATAAAAATAAGACATGGTCTTACCATTAGCAGCTTATAATGAACTGGGACATGGAGCATTTGATAGACTCTTTATTCCTTACTAAAAACACATTTAAGATAGGTTATCTCTATTTATGTTAATTCCCTTACACATATAAAAACAATTGTATATAACTAAAAATAACTATTTTTCAATGAGAAAAAAATCATTCAGAAGAGAAAAATGTGGAAGCTAAGCAAAACCAACTTAAATGCTAGGTATTCGTTAGTGAGGATAAATACTATATTTGGTAGTATTATAATCAACAAGTGAGATTGAAATGGTTAAGTCTTTTAGTATGGATACAAAATTACTGAAAATTTTACTCCTTTTTATTTATTGTGGATTATTTTGAAGAGGATCAAGATGATTTTAAGTTGGCAAAGACAGATCAAAATTCCAAGACACATTAATGGATATGACTTCACTGGAAAAATATGAAATGTGAAGAGACATTATGTGTTAGATATAAAGGATTTGATCAGATGGTGGAGGTTCTTCAGGCTCAAGCTAAGGTAGGGTGACTCCATTCTAAAATTTGTGTTGAAAACAATTCAAATTTATTTAAAATGTGTAAGACAGAAAAATGCTATAGAGAAAAATCTGGTTTTGGAAGATTCAAGAGCACTGGACTGGGTTGTTGTGAAGAAAACATAAAGTATTGACTATGTACCTAATTCATATATAATAAGTCCCACTAATAATAATAATAGTTAGGAAGTCTATATTTTTATCCAGGCTCTGTTATGAAGTAACCTATGAGCATAAGCAGCTCTACCTCTCTGGGCCTCTGTTTCATAACATGTAAAATGAGAGGGTTAAACCAGATGATCCCAAGGAGTCACTTCAGGTTAAAAAATTCCAATTATTCATGTTGAATCCAGATATCAAGGAACAGTCTCAGTAATTAAAAGCAGTGTTTTCACCCCATGCCCCTTGAAGAATAAAGCTAAATAAATTTTTTTGTGGTCCAGCTGGTATATTTTGATCCAATCTTTACTTAATTTGAAAGGTTATAAAACATGAAAACCCAAAGAGTTCCCAAAAGTGGTCCCAATGCAGAACATGTGGGGATTTAAATACATAATATTATTTTAAATATATTTAACAACTCAATTCATACAGATTGACAGATGGAATGGAAAAGTAGACCACCAACAGATTTTGGTTGAACTCCACATTCTGAAAATTCCATAGAAAAACAACAAGCCACTGCATATTAGTACATCACATTAAAATATATTCTAAAGTATAACTCCCCTTTTAAATGGCAGTGATTATACAGTAGTGCAACCACAGGGCATGTGTAAACTTTTTTTGTTCAACATCATCTATGTCTATAACAAACTCTGGTTAACTCCAAGATGTTTCTTGGGTCTAAGCTTTTTGAGCTTTCCTACATTGGCAGTTACAGCCTCTACCCACAACTCTATCCATCCCTCCAGAAATGCCCACTGGCTGAGGTTGGGGGAACAGGTGGCATACAGGTCAATCTGAAGAAATCTCTCACCTTTCTAAAATAAGAAAATGGATTTGATTCGATGATTGAAGACATAAATGTACACCATAGGCAGTTTATACTTATCACTATTTAGGCAGGAAACTTTGTCAAAACTGGGTAAGATTCAGGATAGAGACAGCTTCAGTGTGATTTCTGAGTTCGCTCCCTCTCTCTCTCTGGCCCTTAGTGTTAGGGAAGGAGATGAGAAAGGATGGCTGTCCAAAGTGGCTGACCTCATCTCAGCCCTGCTTTGGAAATGCCACGGAAAGGCTGATAATAACAGGTTGCTTTATGAAAAGGACCTACCCACCTAAGCTTTAATCAAACAAGCAGCATTTTTTATATATCGAGCTTCTTGGAGGCTACCGGCAAACTCTAGTTGCAACAGCGTATGTAACAAAGCAAACACTCTACTTGGTGTTCATCAAGACTCATGTGGCTGTCAGGAAGTCCTTAGCATGTGCAGTGGAGTGCTAGCCAATAATACAGACCTAACCAAAGATGGGACACTGACAGAAAGAAGCTTCTCTCCTGGAAATCCAAACATCATCTCAACTTGATGTTTTTCATCCTCTTGGCAAGAAAAGGTACATTAACTTCCTTCACTACTAGGGAAATTCAAAATGTTTATTCATGAATTTTCATTCACCTCCCTTTAATTTACAGTATGTGCGCTTTAACAACAGAAAAAGGAATCATCAAATTTCCATTGAAAATACTGACAACAGTTTAAATATATTTCTGAATCACTATGTATGTATGTGTTCTTCCAGATTCCTGTTGTCTACTTCAGGTCTGAGATGCTGTCTCCCTTTTGGCACCTCTCTACGTAGGCTCCTCAGCATAGAAGAGCATCTCAAAGGTCAAATCTTCTCTTGTAAGATGAGTGCTCAGGATTCAAATCTTCTTGAAAATTCTGTGCCAGGTCTCATTGGGTGGCCTTGTGTAATCCAACCAGATTGCTCTTGAACAAAAAGAGGAGTCAAAGAGAACTTGGGTTTCCAGAGAAAAATAAAGTGCTGCCCCTATAAATCACAGTCTTTGTGGAGTAAGGTGTCTTCCTAAAGAGGTAGAAATAATAGGGGTGTGTGTTGTAGATGCCCACATTTCAATGATACTGAACACTGTATCTTTAAGGGCTGCATCTTTAAGGGCTTAAAATGGACTGACTCCACTCATCTCTCTGATTTTTTCATAAGTAAGCCAGAACACCAGTGACCAAGGGGTCTGAAAGATTAACCAAAGAAGTTAGTGCATATTTCAAAGTGATTATGAATATTCTACATTTATGCATATACATCTCTGAATGACAAAGTCATTTTGAATCCACTTAGGCTGAAAACAAATATTTTGGTATTTCACCTTTATAGAGCACTTTATAATTAACAAAGTATTTTCATGTCTTATTTCTCATAGATTTCTCTGAACACTTTACAATAGAAAGGAAAGGTAATAATACCCCTATTTTACAGATGAGGACACTAAGGCTTAGCAATCAAAAAGCCATCAACATGTTGTGGAGCTAGAGAACAGACTTCTGGCTTGCATTCCAGGGTTCCTTCTACTGAACCCTTCCCCGCTAAGAGGCTGGGACTCTGCATGCCTGAATTCTAGGCTAGGCTCCTCTGTGTGTAGATTGTAAAGCGTGACAAGGAGTCAGTTAAGAACTTGCAAGTGAAGATGAAAGATTATCCTTTGAGAGTTAGATCAGAAGCTCAACACCTGATGTATTACAAAATGGTTATAAAATTTCATATAAAATAGGGAAAAGAATTTCCAGCTCAGAAAGACTTGACTAACTTGAATAAAGGTATAACCACATCAAAAGGAATTATCAGGGGATGAAGGCTTTTTAACAAAGGAAGATAAAAACATCAAAGACAAAGAAGGAAGTAGCAGAGGAGACACTGGAAGTATCATCAGAGGCGGGGTATTTTGGATCCAGGTCCTGTCTGGTTTGGTTCATAGATGATACGTAATATTGATCAGAGAGAAACTGTCCAACTAGAGTCAAAAAAGAAGCTTGAGCAATTAGAATATAAAATGTATTTGGTTAGAGAGTTTGTGAAGCAATATTTATGTCCTGTGTTTGGAAATATTGAGTGTGTTATATTGGGAGACTGAGACTTTACCAGTGGATTTAGGAGAACACATGTTGGTTAGTTAACCATATGGAAGACATGGACAAAATAAAGAATATGAAAATGAAGTGAGCCAGTGATATAACTGCCATCAGATCAAGGAATAGAGGTCTCAGCTAAGAGTGGATTATGTAATCATTTCTAGCTACTCGGGTGGTCAGGCTTCTGTAGGCAAATGAAGTAAATATTAATCAGTGAGTGAGCAAAGCAAGGTCTCGCTACCCTTACCTAATGGGAGGGACTGGGGTTGAGTTTAGCTGGGTTATGAATAGAAGTTAAACAGGGAGATCATACAGCCAATAACGGGGTAGTATACGAATGGCATATACTGAGCCTCTGTGTTTTTTTCTTCCCTAGCATAGCTAGACCGCTGTAAATAATGCAAGTGTATGACTCCGTGTTGTCTGCTTTGGTCTGCCTGTTGCCATAACCGCTGGAAAAACAAGAGTCCTTCTCCATGTCTTTTACTGTGGGGCTGAACATTAAGGGTTCTTGGATATTCTTAAATACTAAGATTACGAATAAGCTCTTCCTGTTATTATTCCGTGTGTAGTAAGCAACCTTCTGATTATAACTTGCCTTCACAGATGGCTTGAATTTAGGAGGAAGCACACTGTTGAGAGGACTTCAGCATCTGGATCACTAGCCAAGGGTGTTTCTCAATGTGAATGAGCCAATGCTATGATCTGATCATCAGTTTCAGTGAGTTCAGTTGAGGGTGAAATCTGTATTTGCAAGGCCAGTTTACTTGGAAGTGCCCATGAGTCAGTTTTTAAGGTCATGGTCATGCACTGTGGCACATCAACAAGGCAGTGCCACCCAGGCGACCTTTGGTGGTTAGCCAGCCTTTCTCTAGCAACATCTCTTTACCACTACACACTGTCCCTTTCCCCTGACAACTTTAATAGCTAGCCGCAGGATCTCAAGACATTCTGTGCATTGTATTAGTTAGGAACATGGGTTTAGAACTCAACAGACCTGTGGTCTGTTCCCAGCTCTGCCACACACTGGCTGTATGAACTTGAGCAAGTTTCTTATACTTGGAGCCATGGTTTTCTCATCTGAAAAATGAGGATAACACCACCTGTTTTACTGGGCTCTTACAAGACTTAAAAACAAAAAAATATGTGTAAACAGCTTAGCACAGTGTCTACCATACATGAAGTACTCTCTTTTTTTCCCCTCACTTATACTTCCTGAGTCTCATGCATAAAGAGAATGGGTCAAATTGTCTCAGTATTCCTTTGTCTTATTCTCCCTGTCCTCACACCTCTTGACTCTGATTCTGTTTTCCATCAATGGAAAACCTTATAGACCATCCTTATAGTCTCCCACACTAGAAATATGAAAGTCCCATTTCCTCCCTTCCCTCCCCCATCAGCTACACAGAGTCAATTACTAAATCCTGTTGAGTTAACCATAAATGGCCCTAGAATCTGCTTTCCCTCCATTTTTATAAGCATCTTCACGTTAGACGACTGCCAAAACTTCCTTTCTTGGGTTCTAGCTTTCAGAGTATCTTCTGTATTAAGAAGTAATCCAAAGTATTACTTCTTAATCCAAAGAAGCCGCCAAAGTAATCCTGTACCCAAACAAACCTTAGTACCTTGCTCCCACTATTAAACAGCTGCTTGCCTACTACAGGTTCCACCTAAACCATTAAACTTGCCCCCATAAGGTCCTTCTTAACCTGGTCCTTAAGTTCTTCTCTAGAATTTTGCCCCACCACATCCTCTCTGAGGACCTGTTCTCCAGCTACACTGAATTTTCTGCGGTTGTCCAAACCTACTGGGTACACACATGACTTGATGTCCGTGTTCACATTGCTCCCTCGTGCCTTTCTTGTTAAATGCTGACTGATCTTTCAAAGCTCAGGTCAGACATCATCTCTGTGAAAGACTTTGTGACTTCCTAAACAGGTAAAGCCAATTTTTACTTTACTACCCATGTTCTCACCATGTTTTGTTCACCACGAGTAGAGCATTTAATACAACCTGCTCACAAAGACCATGTCCTCTGGAGTCAAACATCCTGGGTTTGATTCCCTGACTTCATAAAGTAGTAAACAGCTAAACTGGCTGAGTTATTTAGACTCTTTAAGCTTTTGTTCCTCCTCTATAAAAGAGATATGATAATAACCTACTGAAGAGATTGTTGGGAGAATTCAGTGAGGTAAGCCATGAAAATGATTAGCACAGTGTTGGTGCTAATACCAAGTGATTTAATAATATTGGCTTTAGGGGCATCTGGGTGGCTCAGTGGGTTAAGCCTCTGCCTTCGGCTCAGGTCATGATCCCAGAGTCCTGGGATCGAGCCCCGCATCTGGTTCTCTGCTCAGCAGGGAGCCTGCTTCCCCCACCCCCTTCTGCCTGCCTCTCTGTCTACTTGTGATTTCTGTCAAATAAATAAATAAAATCTTTAAAATAATAATAATAATAATAATAATAATAATATTGGCTTTATCATTTCTGTAATTTTAACTACTTACATATCTTTCTTTTCCATCCTTTTATAAGCTGCTCTCATGCAAAACATCTTACTCCTTAGTGCCACCAGCACTTACGATATGCAGGCCAAATCAAAATTTTCCTTTCCATTAAGAAATATCCACAGATTTGAGATAATTTCAAGGTATAACCAAGACAATCAAAATAAGGTTTTACACTTGGGTACACGTTTGCATCAGATATTGCTAAGAGCTTTGGCTCTTTGCATCAGATATGGCTAAGGGCTTTGTGCTCACCTCTAAAGCTCCACCCCCATATGCTCTGTAAGATCCAGATCAACATACGAAGGAGCCATCTAGAATCTGTTCTTAGATGTCCTACGAATACCCAAAACTCAACAAATTTAGAATTAAGCTTGCTATTCTACCACAGGATCTTCCCTACCAATGATCCCATGTTAGGAAATTACATCATCTGTTGCTCAGGTCGGGAATCTGGGAATGAAGTCCAACTTTCCTTGTCTTCTCTGACAATTTTCCCCTCCCCATCCAGTCATACTTCTAGCTCCTTGCTACCTCCCCTAAATTATTTTTTGAATCTATCTTTTTCTGTCCTCACTGTCATACTTTCATGCAAGCTATCATTATGTCTCACCTACTACTACTCCTGGCCTTTCCCCAACCCACATGGCAGCTGGAATGATATTTTTAAAAACACACACGTCATCAAACTGGTGCCCTTCACTCTTATGGGTCTTACAGCCCTTCCCAAACTGGCCTCTACCTCTCTCTGGCCTCACCTTGTGCCTCTTTCCTCCATGTTTCCATGCCTTGGCCTGTGGGTTTCCTTCAATTCCCTGAACTCATCAAGTTTTCTGTCCACTCCAACTGTTCCCTCTACCTAGAATGTTTTTTTTTCTGCTCTTCTTACCTGGCAAATACTACTCATTCTTCAGACTCAGTTTTAGAGCCCATTCTCCACAGAGTTGCTCCTAATCTCCAAGCCTAGGCTATATGTGCTTGCTATATATTTTCATAGCACCAGGCACTTTGCCTGACCACTCGTCACTTCTAGTTTTTTATTCAGTGTCTGGCCTTACCAAACTAGAAGCTCCGGCACTACAACAGGGGTTGAGACTCTTCTGTTCATCCCAAAGCCAGGCACTGGGTACAGGGCTTTGTGTGGCATAGGTGCTCAATTAATATTATTATATTGTGTAGAGCGTTGATTATTGGAATTTCTAAACCCATGACTCGTTCGGTCTTTCAAATGTGTTCTACCTTACAAAATACTTGAGTACCTTATTTTTATTATGTATCTTATGTTACCTGAATAAGTCTATTTAATTCTACATCTTAGTTTACCTTCAGTAAAAAGTAATATACAGATCAAATAAAAATGACATAATGCTTTCTTACCAAACTAAGTTTTGTGGTAATGAGTATTAATGGATAATGCAACATGTGCCAGCAAAGTAACAAATTTTGTTTGAAACAGCAACATTTTCATAGGAACAGTATCTAGTATAAAATCTTAATACCTGTTCCAAACGTACGATACTTTGGCTAAATGGACTACTAAAGGTTTTACATTGCAGAAAACCCTATCCACTGACTTTATAACAACAGAATGTCAACCTTTTCATTTCTGAATAGTAACTGAATCGTATTACTTTAATCCATCTAGGAAGGTAATAAGACTCTGAGGAGAGGTAAAAAGAAAACAAAAAGAGATATAAAAAAGAGAGAAAGAATTGTGGTTTGGGGGCAGAGCCATGCTAAAAACCGAAAGAGAAAGGGGAAAATATTTGTAGATTAAAAGCAATTTAAGTGCAAAGAAGACAAAAACAAAAGAAGGAAAAACCTGACGTTACCATTCTCAGCCAAGATGGTAAAAAGCCTTTATATAGACTCATGAATCCTTCTCCTTGAACAGCCTGAATCAAACAGTCAGTTGATGATTTATACAAAAGTCCCCTAAAAAGGAAAGAAGACAGTTCTGCTAAATTTGTGTGTAAATAGTGTATAAATAAATCATAAATTAAAAAATAAAGGAAACTTACTATAAGGAAACTTAAACATTTTCTGCTAATTTAGAACAAATAATATTTGTGACTCAGTATATAGAAATCATCTCTTTTGAGTTTAAAGAGAATTTCTTTAGGTGTCTAAGGCTGACTCTTCAGATTCATCCCACCCTTAGTCTTATAGTTAGAATTCACTCCACCTGATCTCTTCCAGAGAGAACATACTGTTTTATATCAAATCAAATTCTCCATGTTACCTGTAAGTCATAAGCTTCTGAAGAAAGTGCTCTGTAAATTCTCAGCAGAGTATATTTTCATAAACTCTTTAAAAACAATAAAATCACAATAAATACCTTGTGTCTAAATAATATGATCATTAAATTAGCTTATATCCCCAAATGCACAGTACTTTTCCATCAGACAAAGAGCAGATAATTACATAAAGACAGTTTGCTGGCTGAACACGTGATCACACAGATACATTTCTATCAAAAGTAAATGCAAGAAAACATCTTTAAGGAACATTATTATTAAGGACATTTGAACACATGGAGAGTGAAGACTTTCTATCTACCTTCCTTGTTTATCTCGTGGTTGATTCATTATTCGGCTTTTGATGACATCAGCGGGTGTTCCCAGAATAGAAGCTACCAGTCCAGAACATAAACTATAAATACAAATAAATGAATTTGAAGGATAATAAATATAGTGATTTCTAAATTGCAAGAAAAGGAAATTTGACATTTAGAAAGAATGGAATACTAAATATATTATTGTATTATTCTTTATAATAATCTTATTTTTGCTTAAAATCAATGCTTAATGAAATTATTAAAGAGATAGAAAAAACAAAAATTAAAAAGAATGTCCAGGCAACAAATAGACATTGAACACCTACTGGTGGTGACAGGCACTCTTCTAGGCAGTGAAGAGGACACACACACACAAGCCTGTCCCTGAGGCCCTTACTTGGGAAGAGGCAGAGAAGAAATGAATAATTTCAAAACTCCGGTAAGTGCTACGAACAAAATAAAACTGGATAGCATGATAGGGAGTAAGTGGATGACAGGCCATCGCGGAGAGGCTCTTGAGTGACAACAGAGTGGAGTGGAGCAAGGATGTAAAGACATGGAGGAAGAATGTTGCCCACTAGAGGAACAGCCCAGGAAAAGCCCTGAGGCAGAAATGGCCAAGGTGGGCTGAAGAGAGAGAAAGAAGCCCACATGGCCAAGGCATCCTGAAGGGGTCCAGCCAGATGAAAGACTGAAGAAGCAGGCAGAGATCAGCCCATGAAGGCTATTGAAGGGGTGTGATTTTATTCTAGATGTGAACAGAAGTCACTGAGAGGATCTTGGGCAGGGGAATCACCTTATTTGCTTAATATTTAACCAACAAAAAATTCACTTTGACCACTATTTAGGCCTCATTTCACTAAGCTATTCCATTTGCATATAATCTTACCTTCTTCTCCCCATCCTAAGGGATCAAAATAGAAATCCAATTATGTCATTTTTCCCTACTTAAAGGCAGCTAAGACTCATTCCCTACTACCTGATTTAGCTCACACACTAGTTGTCATACATATTATTCCAAGATCATATCTCTCTTCACCCATTTTGCTTTAACAACATGACTAAGTGTAGCTCTGTATTTACCGTACTATGCAACACCTCTATGCCTGCACCCCCGTCTAATTGGAAAATTCCTGTTTTTCCTTCAGTCTACGCTCAGGCATAAGGTCTAATAAGTTTCTGTTTATCCCTTCTTCCTTTGTCCAACAATGTTATCTGCTCCTTCTTGAAAAAGGCTTGTCAATTCCTCCGAAGCGACAAAATGGCTCTCTGTGGTCAACCTACGGCAGAGTCAATCGCAATTCTATAAATGAGTGACTAAGAAGTTAAGAAATCAGGGGCGCCTGGGTGGCTCAGTGGGTTAAAGCCTCTGCCTTCGGCTCGGGTCATGATCCCAGGGTCCTGGGATCGAGCCCCGCATCAGGCTCTCTGCTAGCAGAGAGCCTGCTTCCTCCTCTCTCTTTCTCTGCCTGCCTCTCTGCCTACTTGTGATCTCTGTCAAATAAATAAATAAAGTCGTAAGAAAAAAAGAAAGTTAAGAAATCACTAGCAGTTCATTATACTTGTGGGTATGCAAGGCAATTCAGAGGATGAATTTCCACAAACTGAAAACTCATGAGCTGCTTTAAACTTTTCCACAAGAAAGACCTATGATGAGAAAAAGGGTGGTTGCCCTGAGTCAAGGAGTATGAAGTCCCGCATCCCAGCAGCTGAATCTACAGAAACTGGGATCAAGGCAGCCTGAATAACAGCTTATGTCTGGCTAATGCAAAACTGGAAAGGAAAACTGTGGAAAACTTTTAGATCTTCTGGAACATCAAATACCTCACAAAGACAAGGACTACTGATTTCTGTGTCAAGGCTTTTGAAGTCTCTGAAAGCTCTATGGCAGGGAAGTTGAAGCTACCTTAGGAATCTTTGTATTCTCTCTTACTCTAAACTGCTGTAGCAGAAAGTACTCAGACTCTGTCCACCACTTTCAGGTCAGGATTTATAATTCAAAGGAGAAAATTACTTTAGAAATACTTGAATTCAAGGGAAGAAACCCATATAACCTATTTCGTATTACAGCAAAAGACCTAACTGTGCATATAACATCCTTGGGTCTCTGCCCACACAAGTCATTGTCTATGTGGAAAGAGCTCGTTTCACCACGTACATTCCAGTAGGTATACACTACTGCTCTTTTAATATTCTTTCCTATTTGTTTCTATTCTTTGAAAGTTTAATACCACTGATTTTAATATACCTTAAAATTTTCACACAGAAACCTCTTAACCAACACCTAAGGATATAGTGTATCTTCTTTAAAAAATAAATACTAAAAGAGAATAATGTATTCAGGAGGCCTCAAGGAAGACGGTATCCAGAGTCAATGGGAAAAGATAGAGCAATAAAAAGAACACTGATTTCGCCCAAGCTCTTTGCACTGAAATGGACATTGCTGCTTTTTACTATTGACCTTCATCGCTCCTTGTTAACAACATGATGAAGCTGAGGACACAACTAAAGTGATAACAGACAGAAAGTGACTGGTGAGTCTCCTGATCTCTCCAGGCAGCCAAGCGGCTATCTCTAAGACCAGTTTCAGATATTCCCATCAGCACTGTTTCAGAGAAAGCCAGCCTCTTAAGGATGAAGTAAATCATGCTCATGGGTCATCTTCACACAGAGTAAACTCACCTTTCTCACAGTTTTACCTCTCAACAGCCTCATGATTTCAAAAAGAAAAACAAGGTTATCCTGGTCTTCCTGTTCTATATCATTTCCTGATGATTAATTCAACTCTCTACCTTTCCTCTGCTTCCTTGATTAATATACTTTGCCACCTGCCTTCCCACCTCACTAAAATCCTCACTTGTCTTTATTGCTCCTGGCCTACCCCAGGACTTCTTATTTACCCCATTTTTAGAAATTGTGGTAAAGCAGACACAACATACAATTTACCATTTTAATCATTTTTAAGTGCACAGTTCAGAGCTTATACCGTTTTTATTGTTCTTTATATCAAATTCCTTTTTCCCAGGTGTTGGATGGCTCATAAGAAGCTCTCTGGTGTACAGCTGCAATCCCCATTGAGCCTCCAGGAGCATTCATTTTCTTCTAGGACACAGTATCCAGAACTTCCATACCACATAGCACCGTTTACCTACTCGATTTGACTTCATCGTTAGCAACTTTTGAGTTGCCCCATGTAACACATGTATTCATACCAACCCATTTAAAAAACTGATCCAGTGGGTAGAGCTAAAAAATGAAACAAATGCCCATAATTTCATTTCCCTAAAACCTGAACTAGAGAAGAATAAGACTAAGTTATTTCACATTAGGACGAATATATACAGCTGGAAATCTTGTTTTTCCACAAAAGACAGATCTGTTTGGTATATGTTGGGCAGATTTACACCTGCCAGGAAATCCAGGATTCTTTGGTTAGATGTGGTATTTGAGAGAACATTTGGGTGGAAAGAGAATGAAAGAGAGTGGTAATATCAACGTGGAACTACAGGACAGATCTGACTATCTTGTTCCTAGAGTAGATCATAACACCAGAACAGAGAAGCATCTTGAAAGATGAGGAAGTCTTACAAGGTGACTCTACTGGGTGGAAACTGGAGACAAAAGTCTCCTAGGCAGAGTGAACAGCATGAACAAAGATAGTGCAGGAGAGATGGCAAGGGTAGACACAAATATATATATATGTTTATCAGGATGGAAATAAGAAGTGGAAGGAGGTCAAAATCCTCAGTTTTCTCTGAAAAAGGAGGCCAGACTATTGGCTACAGAAAGTATGGTGTAGCTAGTGAACACACCTGGGTGAGAATCTGGAATGGAAAAGAATGGTAAGCAAAGACACATAAAAAGATTGCCCTAGTAGCACTAAAGATCACACTTATTTTAAGAGTGGAGGAATGAAGAAAAACTACTCTAGGAATATAAAGTTAAGGTGAATCTGGAATTGGAATTGCTTATATTTATATATCTCCAAATCTCATTGGTTCAACACTCTTAATATACTTTTGGGGTCATCTAATAGCATAAAGCATTCTGGAATTTGGACACAAGATCAGAAGCTATATGAAATCACTATAAGGTTAAGAACACTATACATCTATAAAGTAACTCACTCTAATGGATAATTTGAAATTGTGCTGCAAAGAGATAAGGTGCTTCTGCTTCCTGGACTGCTCTACTTCCTGTCTCTGTCAAGAGCTACAGCCTTTCAAAACACCTAATTCTAGCTCCTTTATAGGCCCTTCCCAAGTGGTTATTTTTTTCCTCCCTCTTCTGAATGGTACAGTAACTAGGCATTTTGTTTCAGCATTTACCATACATTATTTTTGTTTTTTAAAGATTTTATTTACTTATTTGAGAGAGAGAGAAGGAGAGAGAGCACTAGCAGGGGAGGGACAGTGGGAGAAGGAAAGGGAGAAGCAGACTCCACCCTGAGCAGGGAGCCTGACAACACAGGACTAAATCCCAGGCCTGGGATCATGACCTAAGCCAAAGGCAGATGCTTAATTGAGTGAGTCACCCAGGCACCCCTAGATATTGTTTTCATATGTGTCTTGTTTTTTCCCTGCTCAGCTGCCTAGAAAGAAGCCGGGGTTACCCTTTGTACCCACTGCAGTGCCCTGCAGGTGCCTTTATCATAAAAGATGCTCAAACTTAACTGTGGAATTGAATTGCAGAATTGATCAACAGAATCTGACCCCAGGAGGGTCCCATCAAGGTGCAAATATTTGGGATGGTTTAATATGAAACATTGTGCAATTTTGTCTCTTTCTTCCCCATTTTAACTGCAAAAAATTCGAAGAAAATTGTTCTTTTTAAATGTACTATCACATTTCTCTAAGGGTAATATCACTAGATTCTCCATCACAGGAGATAAAAGGTTAGAATTTGTGCCAAATGTGGAAGAAAAGTGATACAGAAAATAATTCAAACTAAAATAATCACTTACCTTGATAAACCATGAGTCATGATATTGTCCTCAAGTGGAGTGTTCAGTACCAAATAGTGTTTCACTGTATCATAAGTAGTTAAATCTGGCAATAAAAAGAAAAAGGAGGCTGAAATATTCATTTGACAATGAATGTCTTTTATGTTAATAATATGTTAGGCTTAGGACACCTGGGTGTCTCAGTCAGTTAAGCCTCCGACTCTTGATTTTGGCTCAGGTCATGATCTCAGGGTCATGAGATCGAGCCCTATGTTGGGTTCCACGCTGAGCATGAAGCCTGCTTAAGATTCTCTCTCTCTTTCCCTCTCCTCTGGCCCTCTCATTCTCCCGCTCACACACACACACACTCTCAAGAAAAAAAAAAGAATAGATTAGGCTTGGGGTAGGAATGTGTACAAGGATGTAAGATACTATTATCATTCTCAAGCATGGGAAAGCAACCAACAGATGAAAGGTGAGGAAAAGAGGAAGAGAGACAGGTACTCAATTATATCGTTTGAACATTTGAATCCAGCTATCGCCTACCATCAGCTCAACCCCTGGACTTCTTAGTATTTGAGATGATAAATTCCTTCTCTAATCCTAAGTAAGTTGAGATGAAATTCCATCACTTATAAATAAAAGGTCCTGACCATTATTCTACATTAAGCTTTTTATATTTTTTTCTAATGACAATGAAGAGCTATTGAAGAGTTTTACACGGGGCAGTGATATATTACAACATTGGAGTTTTATAATGACTACCTACAGTGAAGTACAGGAAGTGAATTGTAAAGAAGCAAGAATGGATAGATGCGTTTGATCACTCACCAAATATGTGAGTGTCTACCATATGGTAGTAGGCATTATTCTAGGTGCTGGGAAAAAAGCCACGGATAAACTGAACAAAATCCTCATTCTTTGTTGAGGGATAGACAGTAAGCAAATATATAAACCACAGCATTTCAGATAGTTATAACTCTCCAAAGACAAATAAGGCAAAGAAAGGGGATAAGAATATCAGAAGGTGGAGGAGAATGATATATATGAATTTTAAAGATGGGATCTTTAAGGGAGGGTTTTGAGCACAGCAGTGACAACTCTGGGTTACTATTTACATGACACTCTGGCGGTTCTGCTGTGACTGGAGTACAGGGAGACAAGACAGATTAGAGATGAGACTATTGCATTTATTCTGATGAGAGATGATGATGGTTTGGAAAAAGGAGTTGTGGAGCACTGGTCAGATTCTAGGTATGTTTTGAAGGCAGAATCACCAAATCGAATAGAGAGGGAAAGAAAGGAATCAAAGATGACTACAAGATTTTTGAGTTTTGGGTGCCTGGGTGGCTCAGTGGTTTAAAGCCTCTGCCCTCAGCTTGGGTCATGGTCCTGGGGTCCTGGGGTCCTGGGATCGAGCCCCGCAGCGGGGAGACTGCTTCCCTTCCTCTCTCTCTGCCTGCCTCTTTGCCTGCTTGTCTTCTCTGTCAATAATAAATAAAATCTTAAAAAAAAAAAATTTTGAGCTTAAACAATTTGAATGGCAGAGCTGCCATTTTTGGAGATGGTGAAAATGAGATTTGACTAATTTAGAATGTTTTAACTAAGTTGATGGAGTGATGACCTTGGTCACAGCAGTTTCCAATGCATGGGGGGACAAAATGGCCGTGGGGTACATATGGAAAGACCAGTCTGGAGGCTTCTGTATTGACCCAGTAGGAGGAGATAAAAAATACTTGGACAAAGGAGTGGCTCCAGGGATGAAAAGAAGTAGATGGATGCAAGATACAGCTAGGAGACAGAAGTAGTTGGACTTGGTGACTGATTGGTTTTTAGGAGTAAGTGAAAGGAAAGAGATGAAACTCTTGCCTAGGTTTCTACCCTGTTCAAGTGAGAAAATACGGTATTTTTGAGATTGGGAAGAATGGAGAGCAAGTAGTTTGATAAATGAATTTGGTTTGGACACAGCATGATATATTTAAGATAACCCAAATAAACATGCTGAGTAAATAGCTGGAAGCTGGAAGAGAAATCTGAGCTACAACAGATTTTGAAGCATTGAATTGAGAAACTACAATCAGTAAAGATTCCTGATAACTAAAATAGCCACCAATATGATGTTGTAGCTATGGATGGACTGAAAGAGCAAAATTTAAAAAACCAGACTTACTTCCTTTGATATTTAAGTGATATGTTCCTATAACCCTCAAAAAGGCCATCCCTTCATTTCCTAGAATCATTTAAGTTGGGTCTTAGAAATAATCTTTTCATTCATTAGCTCATTCATCAAATGTTTACTGACTACATGAGATGATAAATAAAATGTCTTTGCCTTCAGGGGGCTCATAATCTAGCAGAGGAAATAGACACACAGTAGAAAGCAATGTAATGAGGTATAAGTGATCACAGAGTTAAGTACCGGGAACTACAGAAACTCATAAAGAGGCATCTAACACAACATGGCTAGGGAAGGGTGGTTGTGGGTTTCAGGAAAAATACACGGTAGAAAGACACTTTGGCAGAATACTAAAACATCTGCAAGAAGGAAACTAAATAGAAGAAGAGGGAGGAGGACAGAAAGTAGGAGAAGAGCAGTTTGGTATGTGCAGGCAATGGAACCTTCTAGCTCATGACTCTCTGTTTCACTTTTTACTCCTGAATCAATGAATTGTTCAATTCCCTGAAGGCACAGTTTGGATTGTGCAGACCTTCTATATTATGTTATGAAACTTCCACTTTTCTTCTGTGAGTGATGAGAAGCCAGTAAAAGGTTTTAAGAGTCCCAGTAACATGTTGAGATTTCTGTTTTAGATAAATCCTCCTGGATACTGGATATAAATATGAGGACAGGGGAGGAGACCAGCCTGATGGCTGTGGCTATGATGGTGGGAATTGTAAAAATGGTCGTTTTAAGGATACTAAGGTGATAGGTATTGGAGAGGGTACACTTTCAAGAAATATTTAGAAGACAGAAGTAAGGGCGCCTGCGTGACTCCGTGGGTTAAAGCCTCCACCTTTGGTTCCGGTCATGATCCCAGGGTCCTGGGATCGAGCCCCACATCAGGCTCTCTGCTCAGCGGAGAGTGTGCTTCCTCCTCTCTCTCTCTCTCTGCCTGCCTCTCTGCCTACTTGCGATCTCTGTCTGTCAAATAAACAAATAAAATCTTTTAAAAAAGAAGAAGAAGAAGAAGAAGACAGAAGACAGAAGCAAGGGGTGCTTAGGTGGCTCAGTCAGTTAAGCATCTGTCTTTGGCTCAGGTCATGATCCTGGGATCCTGGGTTGGAGTCCCACATTGAGCTCCCTGCTCAGTGGAGAGCCTGCTTTTCCCTCTGTCCACTCTGCCTGCCACTCCCCCTGCTTGTGTGCTCTCTCTCCCTCTTTCACTCTGAAAAATAAATAAATAAAACCATAAAACAAAAGACAGAAGCAGTTAGTGACTGACTATGGGAGGTGAGGGACAGGTTGAGTTAAGGAAGCACTGAGGTTTCCAGTCCGGGATGCCTGCTGCACAAGCTGGGGGAAAGAGTTGGGCATTCTGGATCTAATGATTGTCACATGGTTATATGTGCCGTTTTGGATCTTGGAGGAGGGTGTGGGTAGAGAGGAAACCTTAGAAATAGTTTAGTACTATCTCTTTATTGACATAATTTGCTTATTTTAGGAAATCCTTTTCATAGATCACCATGGAGAAAAGTGAAAATACTCTAGAGAAAATATTCAATTAAGTTGTTCAAACAGAAATGAAGACTGTTGCCAATGATTACTAAAAATGATTAAATAAAGTTTTTCCTTTTCCCTGATGTCTGTGCTTATCATTACAATCATGAAGGCAGTAAGGACTTCTCAGAGTTCAATAAAGTTTCCATTACCTCCCATATTCACCAGCGCGGCTCTTTGTATATTGGGTACCCAGCCTGCCCAAAGCCCACGTATTCCTCCTTCAGATAAGATTTTTGCAAATGCATGATGCACACCACGAAATCTAAAGGAAAAATAATAACGAAATGTGAAAATTCTATGCCTTCCTATGGAATGCAGCTGGATAAACTTCACCTATAGCTGTTATGATTTGGAGTAAAATAACATCTTAATTACCCAGAATTGTTAGAAATTGAAGAAATCAATCCTCACGTATTCTCATAAAAGAAATGACATTTTTAGTCCAAAGAGTGGGGAGGGCAATCTCATAATAAAAGTTCTTAAAATTGAATACTTCGGGTTTTATAAAAATTTACTATCCTATCCTGATTTTGTTCAGTTTTGTTTTTTTGTACACAGGTGAAAAATGGTGCTGACCCATGAATCAAATCTGGAAACCCCTGTTATAAAATAATAGTCTGGGTTTTATATAGTCCGAAATACCTGGAGTCCAATGCCATCTTTACCACTTACAAGCTGAGTGGCTTTAATTTAGGCTCTACATTCCCTAAGTCTCACCAAAAAGATAATAAGATATATTTATAAGGCATGCAAAATTGCTATAATGCTACATGGGAAGTTATACTCACAAATGATGGTCACTGTAGTCAAAATCTGTTGTGTACTTATTAAACATAGGACTTTTTATATACATTAGATAAATTGTACTCCTGAAAACTCTATGAAGTGTGAATTTATGTTCCAATTTCCATCTGAGGAAACTGGAGTCTTAGGAACTTGTTAAGGAACTAAGTTAACTAGGTTAAGGAACTTGACTAGGGTCAGAGCTAAAATGTGGTAAAGGCTGGATACGAATCCTGGGCTGTCGGACCCCAAGGTTGATGTTCTTTACAACAGCAGGAAATGTTTTTTACTACTACATCAAACCAATAATTTCCAACAGCAGAGACAAAGGAGGGGAGAAACTGACAGGATTAGTTAAAAACTCAGATTTTTCTGGATCCCGATGATTCTCCCCATGTAGTCAACTTGGAAAACATCACTTCTTCCTGCTACTTAGTAATTAATTAGAAGGTGTTACAAGATGACAAAATGGGTCCTGGGATTCTGTAAACTGCTTGGTTAAGTCAGAGTGTTACCCTTTTCTCCTCTGTGGTGGGCATTCTCTCTGTCTGGAGGGCTCAAGGGGGCCTGGACTGCCAAGCCCAACCTCAGCTTCAAACTGAGCCAGCTAGAGGAGCAGCACTGTGAAGAGCAGTGGTCCGTGTCATTGGTGGGTTCCTAAAGGAGATTCAAAACGCTCCTTCATCTCTGGCCCAGCCACAGACCTGCAGTGTTCAGAGGAACAGACCTCTTCTTACTCAGCCAAAGGTGTTCTGCACTTTTCCTCTTTTCTGGGAGACGTCTATCAATCTCTAAGATTTTGCCCCTTTCCCAGAGAACCAGGCTAAGTGGTGTTTTAATAAATTATTCAACATGAAGTCCTTTGAAGAAAGGCAGACTTCAATAATGTAGAGTAATGCAGTAGGAGAATTTTGTGTCACAAAGACATAATAAAAACCTTCCTTAAACTTGGGGAAAAGAGGAGAAATGGGATTAGATAGGGAAGTGGGAAGAACTTGCAAGGTCAATCTTGCTGTTCTCCCTCTTTCAGGGATTAAAGGGAAAAGAACCAAGCTTTCAGTCATGGAAGAGCCCATGCAGTCTGTCACGCAAACCTTCTGAACGGTCCCTTTCGAAAGATAAAGAAACTAAGGGTAGGAGTGCTAAGTGACTTCTACAACACTAAGCCACAGTGGCAAAACTGGGATTCACACTGAGACAAACTGCAAATTTTAGTGATCAGACTCTATATCAAGCTGTAACAACACAAGTCTAGCTGACTTGGCTGGGAAAAGCAGCAAACAGCTACGCACACATATAATTTTTCTACTAGAGAACACGTGCACCTTATCATGCAATGAAAAGATCCATGTTAGCCCTTCTCTTAATGAATACATCTTCCAAGTTGAAAGAGTCAGAATTAATATCTTCACTGAATGCTGGATTACAAAAATGCATAAATCAGTAGGTACATGTTCAAACTAAGACAGGGGAAAGGAACAGAATCAGTTAATTGGAGAACCTACCGCAAAGGTTTTCCTTCAAGTTTCCTTTTTCCTTCCATTTGCATCTGAACCTTCACTAGATCAGTTGGGTTGGCTAAAAATTGGCCAACAACACCAGCCATCATACCTCCAATCACTGATTTCCTAATTGCAAAAGGAGATACATTTTTTAATAGTTTGTTAAATTAAAATCTTAAAAAAAAATAGTTTCTGTTAATTTTGCAAATTTTGTAGTGAACAGTACCAAGCTGATCCGGCCCCTGACTAGGGATTTAAGACAAAGTGAAGAAAAGAATGGACATACAAATCACAGAGGAAAGTAGATGGTTTGTCTGTTTACTGAAGGGAGGGTTAAAGGAGTTGAAATTCAAATCTGGTTTCAGGGGCCTTCTATGGCCTGAAAGTCAAAGGAAGGGCAGTTGCTTCAAAGTTATAAATATCTGAACTGACCATTTAATTGTAGTTTAATTCTGACCACAGGGGACTGAAAAGAGCATAGATGTAATCAGTCTAACAGACAAAAGCTGGTCAGTCAGATTTTGTAAACTATTATTTTAGTAGTTTTACATAGTTAAGGGGGCTTGAGAACTTTCTTCTCATCGAAGAAACTCTCTCTGCCCCTTGGCTCTTCCTTCTCCTCACCTCCCAAAGCCAACAGTGATTAAGTCTAGACTACTATACTTGAACACGCTTTGAATCCATCCCCTCCTCTCCATGCCAGCTACCTGTGTCTCAGACCAGGCTCTGATCATCTTTTACCTTTTCTTAGAAGAAAAGGGATAATTTCTTTCCTTTTACTCTAAAACGGTATTTGAAGAGGTACAAATGGGTATAGAGTAACAAGGTTCCCTATTATCAGTTCCCTTCCTCTGAAGCAATCACAGTTACTAGTTTCTTATGGTTTCCCACACATAATAATAGTGCATTCACTGAGTGCTTATTATGTCAGGCCCTGTTTTTAAAAACATCATCTAATTTTCATATCAACCCTATGATATTAGTACTACTGTTAAATCCTCTTTACAGATAAGGAAACTGAGGCATAAAAGCAGTTGAAGGACAGTTCAAATCACACAACCAGTGAGTGATATGGCCAAGATGTAACAGCAGGAAATCTGAGTGCCAACCACACAGTCTTAAGCACTAAGTTTCAATTGATAGTTTGTGTACACACAAACATATATGTATAAATACTCCTTTCTAAAAGCACAAATGTAGGGGCGCTGGGGTGACTCAACTGACTAATTTTCAGTTTATATACTGAGCCACCAGCTCTTGGCTTCTACTCAGGTCATGATCTCAGAGTTGTGATCTCGGGGTCCTGGATCAAGCCCTATATCGGGCTCCATGATTGGCTTGGGGTCAGCATGAGATTCTCTCCCTCTCCCTCTGCCTTCCTCTTACCCCACTTGCACTCTCTTCTCTCTCTCAAATAAATAAATAAAATCTTAAAAAAACAAAAAGCACAAATGTGGAATGCTAGGGTGTATACACCTTAATTTTTCCCTAATAATGTCCTTTAAGATATATTTTTCCTAATAATGTATCTCAAAAGTTATCAGTTCATTCAGAACTGCCTCATTTTAAAAAATCGTTTTATAGCATTCCATTTTATGGACCTATCACAATTTATTTAGACAGCTTAACTTTTAACTAAGAAATGTAAACATTTACATGACATTTGATAGGCCCTGCAAATTGTTTTCCATAGAACTTGTATCACTCTCCACCGACATCAGCAGCCTAGGAGCGCCTGGCCCTCATAATGATGAACACAGGACTGTTTTTTCTCTTTGAGAATCTCATAACCGCTGACTGCTTCTCCCTCTGCCTGCCACCCCGCCCTGCTTGTGTGCTTGCTTGCTTGCTCTCTGACAAATAAGTAAATAAAATCTTTTTTTAAAAAGGAATTCTTTTAATATTAAAATATTAATATATATGCAAAATTTCATATACATACACACATGTATGTTTGTATACAATGTGCAGTAAATGCTCACTGATTTGGATTTACATTGTAATTATTAATTATTTTAAGCCTATAACTTGAGGCAATTTTGGTACAAATACACAATTTTATACAAATCTAATGGATACACATTAAAGCCTTTAGGATCAATAGTATACATTATTTTCAAAACAAAACTTACCAAAGGGGATAATGCTTATCTTCACTTTTGCCAAATACAACTTCACGAAGATGTTCGTAAGTGACCATGCGGCCTCCGGAGTACACTGTGTAGAATGGACCATTTAAAAGGTGAATTCAGCTAGACATAATAAAACAAGAGGGCATTCTGACCTGGGCCAGTCCATCTCTCTAGCTGTGTTGTTCTCGCATGAGAGAACAACATATCTCTCGCGTGAGAGAACAACACATTGGCTTTTCTTGATGTTTCTCTAAAGGTGGCATGCCTTCTTACCCCTCAGGCCTTCTCATATGCTGTCTTATCTTTCTTGAATGGATTCTCCCTTCTGTGCTTGGGTAACTCCTCCTAGTCCTCTAAGACTTAATTCAAAGAACACGTTTTCTAAAACATGCTCTCCGACCTCCAGTGTTCTAGACTGCCACTGCACCTGCCATGCTTCTCCTCTCCTCCTCCAGAACAATCCATGCATACATCCAATATGACATTAATTGGAGATTAACTTGATTTTGTTGCTCATCTTTCCATCAGACCATGAGCTTTTCAGGGCAGGCTTTGTGTGTTTTCATTACTCTATGTACCCTAATACAGAGCTTGGTACACAGCAGGCATTTTTCATTTAATAAATATGCATAACTTCACTGGGTAGTTGATTATATTGAGGTAACTTTTTCAGTCAGCTGTCAAACTTACAAAATGAATCTTAACTGTAAAGCCATTTATAATGCTCAACTAAATACAAATGAAAAGAAGTAAAACTCAAAACAATAATGGAAAGCAAAGGAGAAAATATTTTTTTAAAAAAAGACTGGAAAATAAAAATCATTAAAATCAGCACATGGTATTCATAGAGAGCATTTTTCTTGATATTTCAGGAAGTCTAATAAAATATTTTAAAATATTCACAAATATACAAATCACCAAAACAACAACAGTCTCTATACACACTTCTGGAAAGCTCTTAATGAAAACACTCTAGCTTACTCACCTGAAGAACTGAAGCTTTAAAAATCATAAGCTGGTAAGTATTAGTACTGGATGCTTTTCTGGTCAAGGGTCCCTACATACTTGTGGAAGTATTATGAACGTAGAGGAGAAGAATGCCACACCTGTCCTACCTCCTTTGAAGCCAAGTTTATGTTCTCCTATCCACAAGCAGAAAACCCAACAACGACTATCTTTGTGAGAGTCACTTGAGAAGCAAATCTGAAGTATTCTCACTGGCTGTAGCACAGTGACAACTATTTCCCTTGAAGACTGACTAAAGGCCCACACAGGTAGGGAGGTAGCCTTGGAAACAGAGGTGAAAATAAGCTGCACTGCAATCACTCAACTGCCAGAATTGGATCAGTCATCCCTGTTCTCTTTCAGAGTTGCCTAGTCTGTAGTATATGGGACAGAGACTAGTGAGATTTGGCATTTTAGTCAAATATATTTCATTTTCAAAGAACATGAAAAGCTTACATTTTGTGTTTTAAAGTTTCTGAAGTGGAGAAAAATATCACTAATTTTTTTCTTAAAATTCTTCAAACATGCAGAGAATAGAGAAAATAATTCCCTCTGTATCCCTGAGATGTATCATTGCTAACATTCTTGCCACATTTGATTCATTTTTCTGCTTAATTATTTTGAAGTACATTATAGACATCACGAGAGTTCACCCCTAAATACTTGTAATATGCTTTTCTAAAAATTTAAGGCAATCATTCCTTAATAACAATTGGTGGTTAAATTTCTTCCCAAGAGAATATATATTCATTTATTACATTAGCAGAAAAAAAAAAAAACCCACTAGATTTTGAGCACAGCTAAACACAAAAGCAGATGACACACAGAACTCATAACAAACTTACCAGCTGGAATCAAGATAAATACCTATGTGTCTGTAAATGGCAGGTGTCACTCCTTGCCAAAGCTTTAGAAAGCCTTCTTCTTGAACAATCCCTAGGGCTGTGCGCACCATGCCTCTATAGGGAGCAGATTCTCTTGCACTGTCTCCCAACCGAGCAAGGGCAGCTTCTCCTTGCATTTGGAGCCGAGTTTTTGTGAGATCGAGGGGAAAGGTTGCTAATAAAAAAAACAAAATGAGAGGGAAACCCATAACATTCAGAGAAATAAACAAAAATTCCAAAATTCTAAAGTCATGGGACTAATATTTTAGTCTCCACAAGATCCGTGGTTCTCAAATTTTAGAGTACATCAGAATCAGCTAGAGAAATTATTAAAACTTATTTCCTAGTCCCATACCTATGGATTCGGAGCAGGTTGATGGGGGTTTAGAAATCATTTGATTCTTATGCACGCCCAAATTTAAGAATCATTGTCCCAGAGCACCCTCACCCCCAGATCATCAGGGGGAAAAACGTGACAAGATTTGTGTTCTTTTTACTCAGAAATTTCAGCCTAAAATCTACTTTAGTCCTTAATTTGTGTTTTTCAATGGGAATAATTTCAGATTTCCATATTCTCTGATGCTCCTTTGACTGCAACCATGATTAAGACCCAATGTGACTTTTAGAATACTGTACTACTTCTGATAGGTTCAAAATATAAGCAGGTGAAGATGCATTATGTAATTTCATGGGTGATATTCACTGACCTGAAGTTTGAGATATAGAAGATGTAATGTAATGTAATGGAGTTCATACAAGGGCAGCATGCTCAATATACTTTCCAATTAAGGCACAGATTGAGTTGTTTTTCCAGTACAAAGTTTTACGTGTGGCCTCCTCATGAGTACCAATTATACTTGAAAAGTTTTTTTCTTTTTTTTTAAATTTTATTTATTTATTTGATAGAGATAGATCACAGGTAGGCAGAGAGGCAGGCAGAGAGAGAGGGGAAGCAGGCCCCCTGCTTAGCAGAGAGCCCCATGTGGGACTTGATCCCAGGACCCTGGGATCATGACCCGAGCTGAAGGCAGAGGCTTAAACCCACTGAGCCACCCAGGCGCCCCGAAAAGTTTTTTTCTAATGATTATATTTTGAATTCAAGATACTGAATTCAAGAATACATTTTTCCTTGAAACAGTGAAGCTAACTGGTCCACATTAGGAAGATCAAGCTCCTCACTTTATACTCATAATGTCCCAAATAACTGAAGTAACCAGATTCGGGTAAGTTCATGAACGTTATTGACATTACATGAGTCTTTTCAATGACCACTGCCTGATATAAAATCATAGTTATGCTTTTTCCAAGAGAAAACAGAGTAGGGGGAGGAGAATATTAAATCTTACCACTGGTCTTTGGAAAAAATATCTTGCTGATAGTTCCCCTAAAACAGAAGTAGTTTGCATGTAGAGAATTTTAACAATGCTTTATTAACACATGAACCTTGAAAAGATCTAAGATTCCTAAGGTTCCTCTATATTAACATGGGTTATACCTCTCAAAATAATTCTAGTTTACTTACTGGTTACTTAAATAATGCTTCAGGTTCTGATCCTAAAGTGTTTTGTACTCAAAACCAACCCATATTTTGATTTCCTAGCCATTGGTCAACGGGGGGGGGGGGGGAATCAGGTTTAAAAAAGTTAGAAATATCCAATCCAGCAATCTGATTTAAAAAAATTTTTTTTAAAGTGGAAGAATTGTATTTCAGTAAAAACAGTGAGTAACAAAAATTTTCCCATCAGCTTTAAGAGAAGAGAAGGAGAAAAAATAGTGGGTCCAAAGGGCAAGAGCGGAGGAGCACAAAGAGCAAAACAACGGATCCTGTGCTGGCTGCGCTGGAAATACAAAACAAATTCATTTTAGATGAGAACCCAAAGTAACATTTCCTGATGATATACACACCAAAGCTGTTGCTAGTTTTGTTTTTCAGCAGGCAAGAAAATGAAAGGGTAATCTTAAAACGCACGGTGAAGGCTTCACAGGGAACACACAGGCACTCTGCTCACAAAATCATTGGAAGGAACACCACCTGCTCACTCAAGGGCATCAAAATTCTCCCTAGGTGGCCTCTAGTTTTCTCTGACTTGCTTATGCATAGGTAACTGTCCTGTCCTCTATGTTCTTATGATATTTAATACTTTCATTATAGTAAGTAGCACAAGGTAACTGCCTGTCTCAGCATGTCTCCCCACCCGCCTGTAAGAAAGGTCAAGGCTGAGTCTTTGAAGCACCTTCACCACAGTCTAAAATTGTGGTAATTATAACAATGTTGCAATTAATGGGCGCCCCGCCTTGGATTTAGCATTTATATATTATCTACTTCTCAGACTCCGAGATGCAGACACAGTACAGATGAATTAAGCTCAAGGAGGAAAACTGGCAGATGTCGAGAAGATGCTCCATATAAGTGACAGGTTAGTAAGTCCTACGAGTCTACAAAAGATAAGGCTGTGGTGAGGCTATGGAAGAATAGAAATCAGAGAGATTATCTCAATAGAGATGAAGAGTGGATCATGTTTTTAAAAGGTCATCCTCACGGATGGGAAAATGATTCCTAGAGAGGAAGGACGGTTCTTGAAGCTTCCAAGCGTAGACATTCAGACACAATAGCAACACCTCTGAGGGAGACGAAATTGGAAGGAAAAGACCTTAGTGACCTCCAGGGCCGCCTCCTCGCAAAGCCGGCCTTGTCCCCGCCCTGCCACAAGGGCCAAGCAGGTGTGCAAGCAGAGGGCGCAACCCAGAGGGCCGCACCCCCCGGGGGGGCCGAAACCGCTCGCCGGTGCCCTCACCCCCACCCCCAGCGCGGCACCTCGACGAGTCGCGGGGGAGGCCCGGGCGGGGGCGGCCGGGTACCTAGCTCGGCCACGGTAGCCGCCCAGCCCGACAGGAGGAACTTGCTCGCTCGGGGCCATCTCTGGGCAAGCGGCAAAAGCCTCTCCTCATCCTCTGGAAGCGACATTCAGCAGCAAGACGGGACGGCAGTACACCCCTTCTGGCCGGCGCCCAGCGACGCGGCTGGCCTGCCACTCTGCCAGGGCGGCCCGTCCTCAACCGGCGAGTGGCGGAGCGGGGACCATTTCCCTCGCTCCGCTCAGCCAGGCGGCCTCGCAAACCTACAGCCTTCCTCGCAGCCCCGGCGGGAGAGCTCCACAGGACTGAGAGCAGAACAACAACGCGAAGCCCACGAAGCTTCTGGGAAATGTAGTCCGCCGGGCTGCGCGCCTCTTGGGCGCCATTCTCTGATTGGCTGCGAGCGAGGCTCCCTCGGCGCCGCCGGCCCAGGTCTCCATGGCAACAGAGCAAGTTCTCTCCCGCTTTCCACCCCTCCGCACCCGCACCAGTTTGGTCCAGCCCCTGCGTTCGGTCCAGCGTGGCCGGGTCTGGAAAGACCAGTGGAGGTGGGAGGAGGGAGCGATAATGCAGAAGTCATCTAAAAATTGGGGCGGGGAAAGGAGGCTACGCTTAGGAAGGCAAACAAACTGCGGAAGTTGTAGCAGACAAGTTGGGAGGTCCGGTAGGTGCCCCTCCCAACAGGGAATGAGCAAGTGCCACGGCGGCAGGACTTTTCCCTTCTTTGATTGGGAAATCAAAGTTCCACAAAAACATGGAACTAATTTCCCCAGCAGTGATTATAATCCTGGGTTGCATTGCTCTTTTATTATTCCTTCAGCGGAAGAATTTGCGTGGACCCCCGTGCATAAGGGGATGGATTCCTTGGATTGGAGCTGGCTTTGAGTTTGGGAAAGCCCCTCTAGAATTTATAGAGAAAGCAAGAATCAAGGTATGTGGCCTTAGCAGGTGGATTTCCGGAGTAGGTAATGTTTTCTTTTTTATTTTCTTTTATTGGCTCTCAAATGCAACATTAAAACACAGGGAACATACCTGCTGTCCACAGACGTTCATTCCTCAGCTATCAACAGCTAACCTTATGCAAGTTTTTTCGAAAGAAATAGATTTTTATTGGTTATGGATAGATTCTTATCAGCTTAGCTTGCAGCTGCCTTTTTGGACGTCGATATTAATTTATAAATGTTAGTTATACTTCATCGTAGTTTAAAAGTCCTAAGGGTACCCACACTAACTAAACATTTGGAATAATTCGGAAAGAAGTGAAATACGGTTAATTTAAATTTATGAAAACGGGTAATAAATTAGTACCCGAACTAAAGTTAACACCAGGTTGCTGTAAAAATTACTTACAGACTTGGTCTTTGCAGATTTAGCCCGCACTGTATTTTCGGCTGGTATTATTTGATGATGATGAGATCCATGTTCACTGCATACTAAGGAGATTAGTAATATTGTAGTAGATGTTTTTGTCCTTAAAATAGCTTTCAAATATAGTTCATCTTTCAAAAATAGTATGTAAGTTACTGCCAACTTTTTCCTTTTATTTCAATGAATTCCTCAATGTATATTCCCGTGTGTGTTGTGTGGTTGTGTTTTTGACACCTATCCAATTGTTTCCTCAGAATAAATTCCTAAAAGTGGAATTGCCTAGTCCAATGACATGAACACTTAAATTGTTCATATTATTGTGTTATTCTTGCAAAAGAATGTAACAATATACACCTTTTCTTGTCCTTTGAGTGTAGAGGATTGCCTAGTTCCTCATATTTTGGCCCACACTAGGTGCCATAATTATTGGGAGTCTGATATAGGAACAATTATATATTTTAAAGGAATATTTCTTTGTCTCCCATAGCCTCCCTTAGTCATGATTTTGATAAATTTTAAGAAACGTTTTTACAAGTTTTACAAGCTTGTTTCAGAAGGTCAAGCAAGGTCAAAAATATAATTCTGTTTTCTTCTAAAAGGTTTGTACTTTCCCACTTTACATTCAGGTCTGTGATCCATTTTTGAGTTAAATTTTTTTTGTAAGGGGTGATGGGGCACCTGGGTGGCTCAGTGGGTTAAAGCCTCTGCCTTTGGCTCAGGTCATGATCCCAGGGTCCTGGGATGGAGCCCCACATCTGTTCTCTCTGCTCAGCGGTGAGCCTGCTTCTCTCTCTCTGCCTGCCTCTCTGCCTACTTGTGATCTCCGTCTGTCAAATAAATAAATAAAATCTTTTAAAAGAAAAGGGGGTGAGGTTAATTTCTTCCATCTGGATGTCCAGTTGTTCCAATTTCATATCCTGAAGGTCTCTCCTTTCTTCATTGATCACCTTTGTAGCTTTTCAAAAATTAATTGACCATTTTTGTGTAGATCTATTTCTAGCCTTTCTATCCTAGTCCATTGATTTAAATGCCCACTCCTTTGTTAATACTACACTGCCTTAAATACTCTAGTTTTATAGTAAGTCTTTAAATCAGGCAGTGAAAGTTCTCTGTATTTCTCTGTAATTGACTTGCCATTCAAGATTGTTTGCATTTTATTATAATTTTAGAACTGGCTTGTCAATATCTATCATAAAGACTGTTAGAATTATGATTGGAAGTTTGTTAACTCTATCGAAAAATTGGGGGAGAATTGACTTCATAACAATAGTAAGTCTTCAAATATATGACTGCTATGTATCTCTCCATTTATTTAGCTATGTAATTTCTTTCAGAAATGTTCCGTGATTTTTGTGATGTGGTCATGACTATGGTTGTTAATTATTTTATATTTTGAGGCTGTTGTAGATAAAATTGCTTTTTTTTTGGTTTTCCACTCGTATCCTGTTGAAACATAAAAAATACAATCTGTTTTCTGTATATTAATTTTATACCTTGTGACTTTGCTAAATTCAGTTGATTGCTTCTAGTAATTACTTCAGAGATGCTTTAGGATTTTTATACATAAGCAATATGTCTTGTAAACAGATAAATTTACTTCTTTTTTTCTAATCTTGATGTTTTTTTATTTCTTTTCCCTCTATTATAATCAGTAGGATTTCTAGGATATTGTTAAATAGAAGTGGTAAGAGTAGACAAGCTTGTCTTTTCCCTACTATTAGGGGAAATTGTTCAGTATTTCACCACTGAGCCTGATATTAGCTGCAGACTTTTCAAAGGTGCCTATTTTAGTCCTGACCTTCAATCCATACACAGAAATCACAGATGCCACCAGAGAAATAAATAGGGACTTATTCTCTGTTCACATCCATCTCTTCCTAGCTGCCAGTGAAATCCTCATCTCACCTGATTCTACCTCGTTGCACAGAAACAGACGCATCTGCATTTGTTTTAAAAACCTACAAAGTGTTCCCTGAATCCTAGCTTAACTAAACAGTGACTTAATGATTGACATTGTTTGTTTCCCGTATTTTTGCTGTTATAAATATTGTAGGAACAAGTGTCATTTCTGTGTGTGAAAATGTATCCACAGAATGAATTATCAGATTCAAAGTATAAATGCATTTATGGTTTAGAGTGAAATAGGAAACCTTTTGAATGTGTTGAGCTGAGGTGTGATGGACTCTGATTTAAATCTTAAAGGCTCACTTTGGCTGCTCTGTTAAAAAAAAAAAAAGGAATGCAAAAATTAAAGAAAGAAGATAAGTTGAAGGTTTTTACAGTATTTCAAACTTGAGACCATTGTGGTTTTGACCATTGTGGTTTCAACCATGGTGAAGGCAGTGGAAATTTGAGAAGTGGCTGGATATATTTTGAAGGTGGAAGCAGAAGGATTTACTGGAAACTGCATGTGGTGTGTAAAAGAATGAAAAGGGCCTAAGATGACTCCAAGAAATTTGGCTTGAGTAGCTAGAAAATGGGAGTTGCTGTCAAGTGAAACAGCCACAAATACAAGAATTTACTGGAAGGGAAGAAGTTATCAGAAGCTCAGCTTTAGCTATGTTGGAGTTTGATTAAAAAATAATAATAATAATAAAATAAACAAAATAAAACAATTAAAATTTTTAAAATGAGAAAAAAAAAGATATGCTGAGATATGTTGGAGTTTGGGATGTTGATATCCAAGTGGGAATACTGAGTTAAGCAGCTGGATAAATAAATTTAGAGTTTGCAAAAGACGTCCAGTGATGCATAGTTTCAATCTCTTTTACCTATCTTCTATAGCTGTCATTTCCTCTGAAATTCTTTTCACATATTTTATTTCTATTTAATGTTTTTTTTTTCCACATTTCTATACTCTCTCTTCCTTAGACTCTTTATTTCCTGTGGGTTGTAGTCCCCCTTGTGCTTCTTGTCATTGCCATCTCTCCCTCTTTTTTTTTTTTTTTTATGATTTTATGTATTCATTTACTTGAGAGAGAGAAAACACACATGAGTAGGGGTGGAGCAGAGTGAGAGGGAAAGAGAGAGAATCAGACTCGCCCCTGAGCGCGGAGCCCAAACAGATGCAGGGCTCCATCCCAGGACCTTGAGATCATGACCTGAGCTGAAACCCAGTTGGGTGCTTAACTGACTGAGCTACCCAGACACCCCAGTCATTGTTATCTTTTATTCAGAAATATCTTTATTGTTTCTTCCTTTCCTACATTCCTTTATCTTCTAATTTCCCTCAATTGTCTAGTGACTTCTTCCACAGTTTTTGTTTTATGGGTTTTTTGTTTTTGTTTTTTTGTTTTTGTTTTTTGCTTATTTCCTTTGTAGTTGCAATTATTACATTAATTTTTTAAATTCTGAAAATAATTTTGCATTACAAGGGTTTTTTTCTTCTTTTATCCATGGAAATCTTTTCGCAGTACAGGTTTTATGTACCCAGTGCAGAAAGTTTTTGGTGAGTTACTTCATCTATAAGGAAGCTCTGCTCTCCTTTCTTTTTTATAGAATTTTTCTTATAGTGCTGAATTTTTCCTTTCTTGTTTAACTATATTTTAAGGAGTTGAGTTGTCTCGGACCAACTGTCAGCAGGAGGTTTTGCTTGGAGGCAGTTGCCTTCTAGGTTTTTTGACTTAAGTCTTCTACTCTCCCTTGCTACAGTGAAAATAGAGTGTCTCTGTACACCCATAGCTCCTCAGCTTTTAGGATGTAATTTTACAGATATGAGCTCTCATTGCCTTTCTTCAATAGCTGCTGCTAGTAAAAGAGGTGACCCACCTTCCCAAGTGTACTTTTTACTTTCAGAAGATAGTGCTTCCTGGAGCCCACTTTCTGTGTTATCTTTTGCTACCCGCCCCCACCTCAGTATCCATGGCCTGGTTATCTTAGCCCATCTCATAGAGGTTCCAACTCTGTACATTTCCTTCTCATATCTCAGAGTGTATATTTCCAAGATTTTCCATTGTTGAGCCCCCTGTGCATGCCCTTTTTCTTTCCCATCATGCCGTGATAGCTTCTAAGGGCAGAAATGAGAGTTCTGTTGGTATCAGGTGCCAGGGCACACTGTTGTAGTTAGTAGAATTTCTTCTTATTATCTAGCTTAATATGTTTATAGTGTACATGTGTTTCATTCTCTTTGTGGCTTTGCATGATTTCCAGAAAAGAAGCAGAACAATTCAGAAAGAAGTTGCCGTATTATCACTACCAAAATTGGAAGTCATTCTTCTTTAAAAAATGGGTTTTGTTTTGTTTTTTCAGATGGGTCCATATTCTAAAGCCATGAACATATATACAATGAAAGGTCTTCCTCTCATCTCTGTCCTCTGGCTGCCTATCTTCTCCTCCAACAAGAATATTTCCATTCTCTTGTATAGCTTTCAGAGGTATTCTGTGAATTTAAAAAAAAAAAAAAAGAGTTAGGAATGTTTGCTTCTGAAAAGATGGGATAGTTGTACTTCCCCCTATTCCTTCCACTAAGTGCAGCTAAATCATAATTGAACACTATATATAAAACAAACGTAAGATTCTAAAAGGTGGAGAGAGAAAAGCAGACAGGCTAAGGACCACAGGATC